GTATGGGTGGGTTTGGGATACACGTCAGTTTCCAAACGTCCTCCATCCGAAACCGAGACATCGCAATCCAGGAACGCCAACCTGCCATTTTTTTCATCCTCTCGTGTGAACTTAATATATTTATCCACAGAGTTGATGTGATCAGTGAAATGTTGGACTTCCTGGGCTTTCATTTTAACCCAGATGTCGTCAACATATCTGAACCAATGGCTCGGTGGCACCCCTGAAAAGGACATCAAGGCTCTCTTTTCCACTTCCTCCAAGTACAGGTTTGCAACAATAGGAGAAACTGGGGATCCCATGGCACACCCATGTTTCTGCCTATAATATTGCCCCCCGTACTGCATGGTTGCAGATCCACAGGGAAGTACATTTTTATGGTTGTTTAAAAAAGTCCTTCCTTGAATGAGTAAACCACAAACACATAAATGTACACAGCAGACCTGCTCAAAGTGATACTGCTTAGATTATCAAGGACCAAAGTCCAGTCAGGATGTAGGAGCTTACCCGTCGCTGGTTCATAAACATTTTCCTTGTTGCATTCCTCTGCCCGGACTGACCTCCTCTGTCCAGCCCAGAAGTTCAGCGGGACCGTGATGTCCACCGAGCCCGAAGACAAGCAGCGAACTGCGGCCGCTGCCAGGGGAGCAGCTCGGGGCCGCCGCCACAGCTCGGCCACCAGGCTCTGGAGCATTGTTTACACACTTGTTAACTGTAAAATATACAGACAAGGCGCTAAAAACAGCTAACCTTTTAAATAAACCACACTTATTTTACAAGCTTTAAAAGAAAGCTAACATTTCCTCCACTCTGTAGATAATAAACAGGTATTTATTAGACTCAAATCTTCACATATTATAACTGCATGGTTGACTCGACAGGGGGCGTGGTCATTTGAACAGGAAGTAAACAAACGTGAAAAGCTATTTGACAGTTGCGCTGTCAATCACAAACACACACTCGCGAAAACATTAAATTATTGATTTTGAATAAAATTTCCTATAATATAACATGTGAAATTAATTTTACGTATTTTTTGTTTAAAAAAAATAAAACAATAATAATGGAGACCCGTGATGTGGGCGGAGCTCGGTCACAGCGACGTTGCAGCGCAGCAGGCTCGTGCGGCTCAGTGCAAGTATGGCCGGGGACAATGAGGCTCTTCTTAGGGACCGTGGCGACGACTCCACCGTTATTCGGCAACCTTTTCTCATCGGTGTCTCCGGCGGCACTGCCAGCGGAAAGGTTTGCTTTCTTGCTGGCCTTTTTTTAACGTGGTTTTTTTTAATGTCACGGTTAGATTTTTATTCGTAAGTTTCAGCCGGCGGGGTGGTAGCTGTGTTGCCGGTTGCTTGTTGACCGCGTGGCTTCAGTGACGCGACTGGCAGCCAATCTATTCGTCCGTTATCACTTGTTCGGGACGCCCGAGATTGATGCTGTACTTCTTCTCTATTAAGTCATTTTTAATACTCCTACATAGAATATTAGGTTTCTTACAAGATAACTTTTTTATGCTCGTACGTAGGTTTCATGTTAGCTTAGCTTCGAGCTAACCGTAAATTCCATTGCAAAGTTAGCCGCGTGGGTGTTGTGCTGGAAAAAAGCACCTCGAGAAGCACGGTCGTCAGTGAAAGTGAAAAGTGATAAACAGACTTTATTTCCCTCAAGAACACAATTAAAGTAAATGTCATTATTTAAATGGATGTAATAATGTTTTAGGGGTGCTTTCAAAGGAAGGCTTGGCTCAGGCGTGCAGCACGCGCAGATGAGCTGCTCCCTGCAGGGGTGCATTGTTCGGTACAACACCGGCTGCTCAGACAATAAACGCGCAAGCTGTTCTGAGCTGGATGACGTGTTGGTAAACAATGAAGTCCACGTTGTCTTCTAGTTTCAGCCTTATCAAACTCATAAATGTAATTTATTGTATTATTATGACAACGTGTCAAGTTAGTTTAATGTAAATATACGTATATATAAAGCTTTGTGCTTTTGTAGTGCCCACACTTAAAGCAGCTGCAAGACCTGAAATACCACTTGGTGTGTTTATTATGACCTAGTTTCAGTTAGAAAAATATGATGTCATCTGTGGTTAAGGAAATATGGCCTGCACAGTCCTCGGTCATCGTTAACGCCCACGCATGAGAACAAAATCATATTACTGGAATCTGTTTAATCAGACTTGATGAAAACCGCCCCCTCCCAGTTTTACTCATTGTATAGTTGAGCTAAAAGATCTGCACCTGTTTGGAACTTATCATCAGTCCTGTTCAGGTTACAGGTTGCCCTGATCATGCTGACTTCAGTGTTCAGAGTCGGATCTTCTTGTCCAAAATAGCAGCAGGAGACTGAGGAGACTGGACCGCCAGCTTCTGAGTTGGTTCAGCTGAATTTAATGTTTTATTGGCACAAAGGCACCCAGGCCTCAGGCAGCTGGGGAATGCCCCGTCAGCGAAGCGGCATGAGATCCATTTAGCTGGGGGGGTCAGTGAGGGCACTCACGGTGGGCCTCTGGGCATTTTGTCAATGATTTGATTTCATTGAAGGTGAGAAATTAGCCAGGCTTTCATTGTCTGGTTGGAAACATTGGGCCTCATGCAAGAACATGTTCGTATTCTTCTCCTAAATTTCTCTTACTTTTGTTGGTACAAAGGGTTCGTACGAACATGTCACGTCAGATTCAACAAACTCTTCTATCTTCAGGAAAAGTGTGAAAATGAGCTGCGTAAATTCCACCTGTTCTATCCAGCTGCTCGTGCACGCGAGAGGAGATTAGCATAATTACCACCCCAAAAACACCATATAAGGCTATGTTTCCTGCCTCAGATACAAGTGTTCATTCATTCATGAAAAAAAAAACAGCGAAAACTAAAAAGAAGAACTTTACGAGTTCAGAGATTGAAGTCCGTCTGTCAGAGATCCAGAAAAGAAAATCTGTCATTTTTAGCAGGTCAGCTGTGGAATAAAAAGAGCTGCTATAAGTATAAACAACTGTGTTAAATCATTTTCATTTATTCAGAAGGCACAGCGCTGCGCACCGCACACACACCCCTCCCCCATGCGCGCTGCGTGGTCGCAGATGGTCTCAGATGCAGGTTTGAAATAAGCATTTTAAAATGTTTTCAAAATAAGTCTGGCACTTTGGAGAAAATCCAGGACTCACTGGAGGGATTATGTATCCCCTCTGGTCTGGGAACGTCTCGGAGTCCCCCAGGACGAGCTGGAAGGTGTCGCTGGGGAGAGCGCGGGGTCTTTCTCCTGCTGCTACCCCCGACCCCGGATATGCCGGCCGGAGGACAATTTATATTGTTAGTCTAAATTATTACATTTAAAATTATAACTCTAATTCAAGCAGAATAGCCTATTGCCAACATAATTGTGGAGTGTGATTTATTTTCAACTCAAAATATCTTCAAACTAACGAAATATAAAGTTATTAGTGAAGAAAACCCGTCTGGATAACAGCAGACTGACTGCTSGTAAAATATACGACAGGTCTGGACCACTCRTRAATTTTGTTCGTATCTGAAAAAAATCKTAGAATACGAAAACATTGGTGAATGCCACAAATTCTCCTAAATCACTCGTATGCACAATTTAAGAACAAATCTGTGCGTACGAACGGTTCTTGCATGAGGTCCATTGAGCTGATTGGGATTTATTTACATATTTCTAGTATTTTCCAGCAGTTGTTTAAAATAATATTGTTCCTGCAGTCGTCAGTGTGTGAGAAGATCATGGAGCTGCTGGGGCAGAACAAGATCGACCACCACCAGCGCCAGGTGGCCATACTCAGCCAGGACAGTTTCTACAAGGTGCTGACTCCAGAGCAGAAAGCCAAGGCGCTAAAGGGCCAGTTTAACTTTGATCATCCAGGTAACAAAGCTTTTAGCTGTTATTCGAACTAAATGTCTGTTTTTCAAAACAGATTGTAGTTGTTTTATTTTTTTGTCTTCTTTTCCTCCTCCTCAGATGCCTTCGACAACGAGCTGATCCGACAAACCCTCCGACAGATCCTGCAGGGGGAAACTGTTCACATCCCGGTTTATGACTTCGTCACTCACTCCAGGTGAGCTCCTCCCTGTTTTCCTCAGCTCTCGTTTTACGAGGACTCCGTTGCCTGGCGTCGCTTCAGAGCGAGAGAACGAGTCCGGTCCAGAACCTGTTTACCAGTCACGTGAATGTCTTCTGATGGTGTGTCGCAGTGCAGTCACTCACAGAGAGGAGGGGAACCTTTCTGTTGTTGTTGTTCCAGGAAGGAGGAGTTTGTGACGGTGTACCCGGCCGACGTGGTCCTGGTCGAGGGCATCCTCATGTTCTACTCTCAGGAAATCAGAGATCTGTTCCAGCTGAAGCTGTTTGTAGACACAGATCCAGACACGCGGCTCTCACGTCGAGGTGTATAGAAAGAGTTGGCTGAATAAATACTAAATGTGTAGCAGTTGACTCACACCAAAGTAATGTTAATGATTAACTCGACAAGGCTAAAATGCTGCATTAATAAATAAAAAAAATAAAAGCTTTGAATCATGCTTTAATGTTCCTGCTTTGTGCTGTTTTTGTTTCAGTTCTAAGGGACATCAATGAGCGAGGCAGAGATCTGGACCAGGTTCTGAGTCAGTACATCACATTTGTAAAACCAGCTTTTGAAGAGTTTTGTTTACCGGTGAGTAAAGTTATTTGACTAGTTGTGCTGAGGCTGAGCGCTGCATAAAACCAGCTGATAATTTATAACTGAGGTGAATAAAAACCAATTGTGCTGTTACAGAGAGTCCACCAGAGGGCACTAGTTTACTACTAATGCATAGACTTAAATAAAGATCACTAGACTGAGCCCCGCCCATACCGTCCGCTGTTAGTCTGTGACATCATGGAGGAGCAGAAACAGACCAAACAGGACAACAGCTCACAGCAAACATAGAAACTAAAAGATAAACAGCAGCTGAACTGGATCTGTTTCACACATTATCTGTCATGTTTTTAAATTAATAATTATGTTAATTTCATGCAACAATCATGTAAAACAGCAGATTTATACCAGAAAAATATATAATTTATAAATTACAATGATCTAATCCAGACCTGAAGTCAGCCTGTAGCTTAGACTTTAGCTAGTTGAAAAATGATGACTTCAGCTAGTAATAAAGTATATTTATTATTTCTTCTTCCTGTCATAAAAAATAAGAATATTTATATTTACCAGTCAACAGTTAGAAAATGTTCTCTGGTTATAGGATGAAACTTGTTTCTATTAGCTAACATCTTCTTAAC